AGAGTAGACGCCTCCCTCACATTTTCAGGGAGATTGTTCCAGATCTTAGCTGCATGGATCTGAAACGCAGCCTCCCCATGTTTGGTTCTCACTCTGGGCACCAGCAGGAGGCCAGTCCCTGTGCTCCTCAGAGTCCGGGCCGGTTCATATGACACCAACATGTCACTAATGTATTCTGGTGCAAGGCCATGGAGAGACTTGTACACAAGCAGAGCCGTTTTAAAATCTATTCTTTGAGCCACAGGAAGCCAGTGCAGAGACCTGAGGACCGGACTAATATGGTCATACTTCCTGGTTCCTGTCAGGACTCTAGCTGCTGCATTTTGGATGTACTGCAGCTGCTTACAGGTCTGTTTGGACAGACCTGTAAGCAGGCCATTGCAGTAGTCTAGCCTGCTGGAGACAAATGCATGGACAAGAATCTCCAAGTCTGCCCTGGACACTATATTTCTAACTTTGGCAATGTTCTTCAGATGGTAAAAAGCTGTTGATGTTATTGATTTTATGTGGCTATTGAAATTTAGGTCTGAGTCCAGTATTACCCCCAAATTTCTGACCTTGTCTGAAGGAAGTAGGGAGAGAGACTGAAGTTGACAAATGACGCCCTCTCTTTGTTTCTGGGGACCAAAGACAATGATTTCGGTTTTGTCTGCATTTAGCTGGAGGAAATTATTTTGCATCCAGTCACTGATCTGTTGGATACAGTGAAGGAGCAAATCCAGTGGTCCATGTTCTCCTGCAGTCAGTGAGACATAGATCTGAGTGTCGTCAGCGTAATTGTGGTAGGACACTTTGTTTCTTTGTATTAACTGACCTAACGGCAGCATGTAGAGATTAAATAGGAGAGGTCCCAGGATCGACCCCTGTGGTACACCACAGGTCAGGGCCACATCATCTGAGACGCAGTCTCCAATCTCCACAGAGTACTTCCTATCCTCCAGGTAAGACCTAAACCAGTCTAGGGCTGTGCCAGTGACACCAACCCAGTCCTCCAGTCTCTGCATGAGGATCTCATGGTCGACAGTGTCGAACGCGGCACTAAGATCTAACATGACCAAAACTGTGACTTTACCTGCATCAGTGTGAAGTCGAATGTCGTTTGTTACCTTCACTAGAGCGGTCTCAGTGCTGTGGTGGGGTCTAAACCCAGACTGGAACATATCAAAAGAATTATTCATTGTTAAAAATTCAGTAAGTTGTTGGGAGGCCACTTTTTCAAGAATTTTTCCAATAAATGGCAGATTCGATATGGGGCGATAATTTTGAAGTCCCGCAGGATCCAGACTGCTCTTTTTTAGGAGAGGTCTTATGACTGCTGTTTTTAGGGCCATAGGAAATGTTCCTGACGACAGAGACATGTTTACTATTTGTGTCAGTGAAGGTAACAAACTGCTCAGGACGGACTTCAGAAATTTAGAGGGCAATATATCCAGGCTACATGTGGAGGAGCTCAGACTCATGATTATCTTTTTGACAGTTTCAGTATCCACAGGTGCAAAGTGAGTTAGCTCAAAAAGCTTCTCTGGCTGTTGCATTGTTATACGTGCTGTGGAGGTGATAGTGTTTTTGATTCCTTGTACTTTGTCATCGAAAAACTGTGCGAACTCATTACACCTAGATTTAGAGGAAAATTCTAGGGGCAACTTTACAGGGGGGTTCGTTAATCTACCAACTGTTGAAAACATAACACGAAAATTGTTACTGCAACCTCCAATAATGTCAGAAAAATACATTTCTCTTGTTCTACGTAGAACCCGGTTAAATTCACCCAACTCATCTTTAAAGATTTCATAATCGCCCTGGAAATTGGACTTTCGCCACTTCCGTTCGGCCCTCCGGCACTCTTGCTTCTGTGCCCTAACCGAGTCTGCCTTAGTCCATGGGGCCTTTTTCTTACTGGTAACTATTTTAACCGTCACAGGAGCAATGGCGTCCAGAACAGTCAGAACACTGGTGGTGACAGAGTTATACAATTCATCAACAGTAGAGCATGGAGTTTTCTCAAAATTTAGCATTCCCATGAACAGTTCACTTGTGTTTTCATGTATGTGTCTTCTTCTAACAGTTGTAAATTCAGCTGGTGGTTTGCTAGCAAAACACATGTCAAAAAATACACAGAAATGATCTGACAAAGCAACATCAACTACATTAACATTTGATACATTAACCCCCTTTGTAATTAGCAGGTCAAGAGTGTGCCCCCTGCTGTGGGTGGGGCCACTCACGTGCTGAATGAAACCAAAGGTCTCAAATACAGAAGCCAGCTCCTTTGCATTTCTGTCATCAACATTATCAACATGTACATTAAAATCACCTGTAATAACTAAACTATCAAAATCTGTGCACACGAATGAAAGTAGTTCAGTAAAATGGTCAATAAAATCGCAACATGACTGTGGTGGCCTGTACAGGACAATGAAAAGAGTAGAAGATTGCTTTTGTTCCATTTTAAAAGAAATATACTCAAACGATGAAAAATTTCCAAGGGGCATTCTATGGGGGACAAAGTGCTCTCTAAAAACTGCAGCTATGCCTCCCCCCCTTTTGTTTTCTCGTATTTCGGATTCGAATTTAAAATTGGGTGGTGTTGCTTCTATTAGAACTGCATTTCCTGTATTTTGGTCCAGCCATGTTTCAGCCATAAGCATAAAATCAAGATCATAAGAAGTGATAAAATTATTAATTAAAAATGATTTGTTACATAGAGATCTGACATTAAGCATAGCAAGTTTAAAAATAACGTCAGAGTCGATTAATGTGGTTGATTGATTTCTACAGGGAACAGAAATTAGATTTGCAGAGTTGGACCGTCTAACTGCTGTCCTGTTTTGATTTCGTTTTTTAGAATTTAAAAACATTTTTGAGCTGGTGCGAGGAACACACACAGTCTCAATTGGCCTAAAATGTGAAAACCCTTGTTGTTCTTTAGCTCCCAGAGTCAGAAGGGAGTCAGCACAGTTCAGTGTTTGGACTGGTAATACACTGCCAGACGGACAGGGAGCAGTGTTTGCACCGTTGTACTCACCCGGTGCTGGTGAGCAGGAGGCGGGGGAGTGCGGTGGGGTCCGAGGGGGCTCAGATGTAAACAGTCACGCCCCCCTCGGGGAACGCTGAACAACATAACGTATGTAATCCATCAACAGGCTGCTACCGTATCTGTTTGGGTGTAATCCGTCTGGACGATAGGCTTCGTAACGTTTCCAGAAAAGGGCAAAGTTATTCACAAAGACAAAGTTAAAAGAGCTGCATGTAGCCTGGAGCCACATATGCAGCGCCACAACACGACTGTAGAGGCAGTCACCTCTGTTTACAGTCGGGATTGGACCAGAAATAAAAACAGATAATCCGGAGGATTGAAGGAGGTGGAACAGATCCATAAAATGTTTCTTCGTGACTTCTGACTGCTGAAGTTTCATGTCGTTAATTCCCACATGCACGACTACCTTGGAAACGGTATCAGGCAGGGACTGAAGCAGAGGAGGGAGACGGATGAGCAGGTCTGGTACAGTAGCTCCGGGAATACAGCGAGTGACCGCGTTAAAGAAGCGGACGTGTCTCACGATGGAATCTCCAATAATCAGAGTGGTCGGGGCGAAGAGTGGCTTCGGAGAAGGAGCTCGGTGGACGGAACCAGCGGGTTCACCCGAAGCAGGACCCGAGCCTGAGCGCCGCTGAACACATGGAGAGGAGGAGCGGGGGTGCTGACTCTCAGCTACAGGCGACCCACGCTGTGTGCTCGGGGACGCTGGAGCGGTGAGAGGGGCTGGCTCTGGGCGCTGCTGCTGACCCGGTGGAGGTGAGCGGTGGTGATGATGGCTCGCTACCCCAGTCTGAGGCTGCTGCACTGGGGTCAAAGAAGGGGAACAGGCCAACATGGCTGGTGGACCGCTCTTTCGCCTGAGGACTGCTTCCTTTAGGAGCGTTTTCCTCGTAGTGGACTTGGATCCTCGAGCAGTAGAGTACGCTGCAGTGTCCAGGGATTCTGCTGAGGGGGCCGGGATGTCGGTGGAGAGGGCTGCATAGCGGTTTGCCAGACTAAGGACATGAGCCACGGCGCAGGATGGCTCCTCGCAGTCCGCGGGCTCGTTATTCGGAAGCGGGCGCTTAGGTGTAGAACAGGAGGGTCCAGAGCTGACGGATCTCTCCCACACGACAGTGTCACAATATGCAGCGCTCAGTGACATCAGCCGTGAATGCTGCCCACCAGCGACTTCAAAAAGTTTGGATACTAGAGATTGTTTCTCATTCAACTCTGCGGTGAGACGAAGGACTTCTTTTCGTAGATCTGCACTGGTGGCACGGTCGCTCTCACGGAGCTCCAAGGTGAGGCGACTAATATTGTGCATGTTTGAGCCAATTTCATTGTCACTTTCCATGTCCTCGTTAGCTTGTGTTAGCCTCTGTGCTACTAGTGGGTTTCAGTCGGGACTAAGTGCTATTTGCTGAAACCACTGAATTAAAAAGATAAAACACTCAGATATATTAAAAAACTGAACAATAAAAAAAACGCGCTAAAAAGTTGTTAAAAGTTTACTAAAAAGGTGCACAGAGCAGCCCTGCAGTACTGCTTACTTTGACACACCTATATGATTTTTTCTTAGGTGCACATGCGGGAACTGTAGGACAATGCCTACAGAAAGAGAAAATGTATGCTGTCAAGAAATTCCACAGGTAATTGTAATAATCATAAAGGCGTAGAATATCAACGATGCATTTTGTAAACAGTAACAATACAACGGTCTAAACAAGCTCAAAGATGTGTCACCTACTGTACGCATTTATAGTAATTGGGGAACAATTCTATATTAAAATAAATTGATGCACTACAATAATCATTATTCCATGACATGGCTTTCTCACACTTTTTCTTTTCATATGTAGGTTCTGAGACGGATAAATCAGCTGCCTGATCCACCTGCCTGCATTATAGACCACCCTGGCTTTGCAATGAATATACATTTTTGTTCTGCAAACCATAAATAATATTTATCGTGCAGACTATGGGCCAGTTCGAAGGAGAACACAAGAAGAGTAAGTACACTTTCATTTAAATATTTTATTTGCAATAATTTATTATGTACTTTTCCAAATTCTATGGAATTTATACCTGTATAGTTTTACATCACTATTTCTCAACACAGCAGAGAATAAAACGGCTCTAACAACAGAAATGCAATGATACAAACAAAGAGTCATTGAATCCATAAGGGCCAGATGATCATAAATATCCTACAATGTTGAGTGTCCTAGATCATCACCACAGTCCTTCTGGTTAGACACCAACTGTCAAACAGACTGTCCTGCAAGTGAGAAACTTCAGGGAGATCTACATTGAGAGAGGGATCCACTCCCCACCAGGCAATAGATCTAGGACTTAGGCTAAAGAAAGACAGACACATTGCAGAACAAGGACTGAGGCAGCTTCATGGCAGGGAGGGGGTGCAGCTCACGAGTCCGGCTGGGGAGGACAGTCCACAGGTGCAGATGGAGGAGGCAGGGTTCAGGAGTACAATCATCACAACATCTCCCTTGGAACTCTCTCAAAACTGAGAGCTGAGGTCTGCAGGCACAGGGACAGTCTTCAACTGTTCAATAAAAGGAGCTGGCTCGGAGAAGACCTCAGTGAAGACGAGGTGCATCAGCTCAGAGACATATCCTGCAAAAGTGTGACTAGTTATATATTTTTTTTAATTTGGAGATATATATAAATATAAATGTACACTGACAATGTAAAATGTTTGTACAGTGTTTTTGATTACCAAATGTCGCTTTGTTTTTGACAGGCTTTGCTGTAGGCTTTCCTTTTTTGTAATTTAGGGTAGGAAACTTTGAATAAAGGCTGCCCTTTTGAAGTTGCTTGCTCACGCTTCACGTTTTCATTGAAGTGCATTCCTGCCAAAAACAACCTGCAAAAAAGAGTGTCAATGTAGAAAGGATTTGTAATACTCATGATTGTTACAAAAACTATTCAGTTATATTACCTGCACATCATTCCGACAAAAGGGTACACAACATTTTTGGGGGCAAAGCGGAGAATAACGCTATGAAACGCCTCCAGTGACGATGTCTGGTGCTCAGAGCTGAGTTTCTTTACATCTTCCAGCAGTCTCTTGTTCACAAGTAGCTTTTCTAGTTTGTACAATGGGGCAGAACCTGAGTAAATAAGCAATGTATTGGTAAACATGAACACACAACTCTGGCGTCAGAGTTCGATTATGCTTTTCCAAACCTGGCAGAAACCATTTGCTTGGATCTTTGGACTCTTTCACTGGATGTGCACATTTGGGAAACACAGGGTCATCATGATCGTGTACATTTTGAATATGGTTTTACAAGGGATGTCCATTTTGCCACTTTCTCTGATCCTGTCTTGGAAGATGATGCAACCCAGTATATGTGGTTTTTTATGGCTGCTGTCCATTTTCTCACCACCTGGCGAAATCATGAAAATAATCTATTGTTGATGATTAGAAAACATATTTTTTGGACGCTTTGTAAAAGGACAATAAGTAATACAATAATATAGTTCGGTGTAGGGGTTTCCTAAAAGTAACAGGTTTTTTCCCGAGATTTTTATTTGAATGAAAGAATGTATTTATTTGGTCAATTAATTGTTTGAGTAAATTGGTCTGAAGCCTCTTGCTGCGAGTCCATTACGTCACATACAGGTCAAAAGCAACTTAAAAAATTATTAAAAATATATATTACTGATTTTAAACTCAAGATACATATTCGCAAAAACAATGTATTTTTTGATCACTTTGGAGATGTATTATTATTTTTAAGGACAAGTTTATGAATTATATATTTCACATTTTCGGGTAATTTTAAATGTTGATAATGGATTAAGATCTGTTTTTATCGTGACTTCTGAAGCAATCTTTTTCGATTGTAGCGACTTTTTCTCATTCTGACACCTGCAGGAATACATTTTTCTTGTACAACTCTAAATAAAATATCTAGTTTTTTTAACTTGACATTGTCCATACATTAAAACATGTTAGATTTTATAAAAAGTTAAAAAGTAGAGTCACGGTGATGTGTATCGTCATAACATTTTTCCCAGATTTTTATTTTCCTTTAATGGTTTCCTCAAATTTTTGGTAGACCACCTTTTGAGTCAATATATCGGCTTTAAGCTTGTTTGGAACTGAAATCTACCTCTTTGGGGCATCTCACTCGGTTTTAGGCACTTTTACCATCAAACTGCATCTCAACCGTTTGGTAAAGGCCTCAAATAATTATATATATTTTTAAAAACACGTAAAAATGATTTGATATTAGTTTCATACATCATAGAATTTTCCAGAAAAGAAAAAAAACAGCTGTCTTCCAGAAGTGAATGTTAAAGGGTAAATAAACATGAATCTTTACTATAAGAAACTGAAATGTCTAAATGCATGAATGGTTTTGTGTTTAGGTTCAAATGTGGAAAAGCGTAAAAACCGGCCACAAATCCTCATTTTTTACTAAACTTATCTTTAAAAGCATGTTAAACTGAATGTCCCCTGTTCGTGTGGCTCCGACAGATGCCCCCAGCCCTGCTTCAGAGTATTTTAAGAATGTTTGTGGAATGAGGTTCTATTATTCAAAGCAGGAAGTTTTTCTTTTTTTCTTGGAGGGTGGAGATTCTGAGGAAGTGGCCGGAAATTCCCAGGAACAGAACAGTCAGCTGTGCGTTCACGCGACAGTTCCAGACAAACAGGAAGCGTCAGTGATGACAAGTTAAAGGAACACTGAAGTTTTTACTCCCGTCTAGTTTTGAGATCAGATTATAGCCACGTTTCCACCGCAAGAGTTCCTGGTAAAAAGAGCGGGGTGGAACTTTTACAGGAACCTTCCACTCCCTCGGTCCTTTCTGTGGTCCTCTCTATGGTTCTTTCTGTGGTCCTCTCTGTGGTTCTCTCTGTGGTCCTCTCTGTGGTTCTCTCTGTGGTCCTCTCTGTGGTTCTCTCTGTGATCCTCTCTGTGGTTCTCTCTGTGGTCCTCTCTGTGGTTCTTTCTGTGGTTCTTTCTGTGGTTCTCTCTGTGGTTCTTTCTGTGGTCCTCTCTGTGGTTCTTTCTGTGGTCCTCTCTGTGGTTCTTTCTGTGGTCCTCTCTGTGGTCCTCTCTGTGGTCCTCTCTGTGGTCCTCTCTGTGGTCCTCTCTGTGGTCCTCTCTGTGGTCCTCTCTGTGGTCCACTCTATGGTTCTTTCTGTGGTCCTCTCTGTGGTCCTCTCTGTGGTTCTTTCTGTGGTTCTTTCTGTGGTTCTCTCTGTGGTTCTTTCTGTGGTCCTCTCTGTGGTTCTTTCTGTGGTCCTCTCTGTGGTTCTTTCTGTGGTCCACTCTGTGGTCCTCTCTGTGGTCCTCTCTGTGGTCCTCTCTGTGGTCCTCTCTGTGGTCCTCTCTGTGGTCCTCTCTGTGGTCCTCTCTATGGTTCTTTCTGTGGTCCTCTCTGTGGTCCTCTCTGTGGTCCTCTCTGTGGTTCTCTCTGTGGTCCTCTCTGTGGTCCTCTCTGTGGTCCTCTCTATGGTCTCTCTGTGGTCCTCTCTGTGGTCCTCTCTGTGGTCCTCTCTGTGGTCCTCTCTGTGGTCCTCTCTGTGGTCCTTTCTGTGGTCCTCTCTATGGTTCTTTCTGTGGTCCTCTCTGTGGTCCTCTCTATGGTTCTTTCTGTGGTCCTCTCTGTGGTTCTCTCTGTGGTCCTCTCTGTGGTCCTCTCTATGGTTCTTTCTGTGGTCCTCTCTATGGTTCTTTCTGTGGTCCTCTCTGTGGTCCTCTCTATGGTTCTTTCTGTGGTCCTCTCTGTGGTTCTCTCTGTGGTCCTCTCTGTGGTCCTCTCTATGGTTCTTTCTGTGGTCCTCTCTGTGGTCCTCTCTGTGGTCCTCTGTGTGGTTCTTTCTGTGGTCCTCTTTGTGGTTCTCTCTGTGGTCCTCTCTGTGGTCCTCTCTGTGGTCTCTCTGTGGTCCTCTCTGTGGTCCTCTCTGTGGTCTCTCTGTGGTTCTCTCTGTGGTCCTCTCTGTGGTCTCTCTGTGATCCTCTCTGTGGTCCTCTTTGTGGTCCTCTCTGTGGTCTCTCTGTGGTCCTCTCTGTGGTTCTTTCTGTGGTCCTCTCTGTGGTCCTCTCTGTGGTCCTCTCTGTGGTTCTTTCTGTGGTCCTCTCTGTGGTCCTCTCTGTGGTCTCTCTGTGGTCTCTATGTGGTCCTCTCTGTGGTCCTCTCTGTAGTCTCTCTGTGGTCCTCTCTGTGGTTCTCTCTGTGGTCCTCTCTATGGTTCTCTCAGTGGCTCTCTCTGTGGTTCTCTCTGTGGTCCTCTCTGTGGTTCTCTCTGTGGTCCTCTCTGTGGTCTCTCTGTGGTTCTCTCTGTGGTCCACTCTGTGGTTCTCTCTGTGGTCCTCTCTGTGGTCCTCTCAGTGGTTCTCTCTGTGGTCCTCTCTGTGGTTCTCTCTGTGGTTCTCTCTGTGGTCCTCTCTGTGGTTCTCTCTGTGGTCCTCTCTGTGGTCCTCTCAGTGGTTCTCTCTGTGGTCCTCTCTGTGGTCCACTCTGTGGTCCTCTTTGTGGTTCTCTCTGTGGTCCTCTCTGTGGTCTCTCTGTGGTTCTCTCTGTGGTCCTCTCTGTGGTCTCTCTGTGGTCCTCTCTGTGGTCCTCTTTGTGGTTCTCTCTGTGGTCTCTATGTGGTCCTCTCTGTGGTCCTCTCTGTGGTCCTCTCTGTGGTCCTCTCTGTGGTCCTCTCTGTGGTTCTCTCTGTGGTCCTCTCTGTGGTCCTCTCTGTGGTCCTCTCTGTGGTTCTCTCTGTGGTCTCTCTGTGGTTCTCTCTGTGGTCCTCTCTGTGGTTCTCTCTGTGGTCCTCTCTGTGGTCTCTCTGTGGTTCTCTCTGTAGTCCTCTCTGTGGTCTCTCTGTGGTCCACTCTGTGGTTCTTCTCTGTGGTTCTCTCTGTGGTTCTCTCTGTGGTCCTCTCTGTGGTTCTCTCTGTGGTTCTCTCTGTGGTCCTCTCTGTGGTTCTCTCTGTGGTCCTCTCTGTGGTTCTCTCTGTGGTTCTCTCTGTGGTCCTCTCTGTGGTTCTCTCTGTGGTCTCTCTGTGGTTCTCTCTGTGGTCCTCTCTGTGGTTCTCTCTGTGGTCCACTCTGTGGTTCTCTCTGTGGTCCTCTCTGTAGTCCTCTCTGTGGTCTCTCTGTGGTCCACTCTGTGGTTCTCTCTGTGGTCCTCTCTGTGGTTCTCTCTGTGGTTCTCTCTGTGGTCCTCTCTGTGGTTCTCTCTGTGGTTCTCTCTGTGGTCCTCTCTGTGGTTCTCTCTGTGGTCCTCTCTGTGGTTCTCTCTGTGGTTCTCTCTGTGGTCCTCTCTGTGGTTCTCTCAGTGGTTCTCTCTGTGGTTCTCTCTGTGGTTCTCTCTGTGGTTCTCTCTGTGGTCCTCTCTGTGGTTCTCTCTGTGGTTCTCTCTGTGGTTCTCTCTGTGGTTCTCTCTGTGGTCCTCTCTGTGGTCCTCTCTGTGGTCCTCTCTGTGGTTCTCTCTGTGGTCCTCTCTGTGGTCCTCTCTGTGGTCCTCTCTGTGGTTCTCTCTGTGGTTCTCTCTGTGGTCCTCTCTGTGGTCCTCTCTGTGGTTCTCTCAGTGGTTCTCTCTGTGGTCCTCTCTGTGGTTCTCTCTGTGGTTCTCTCTGTGGTTCTCTCTGTGGTCCTCTCTGTGGTTCTCTCTGTGGTTCTCTCTGTGGTTCTCTCTGTGGTTCTCTCTGTGGTCCTCTCTGTGGTTCTCTCTGTGGTTCTCTCTGTGGTCCTCTCTGTGGTTCTCTCTGTGGTTCTCTCTGTGGTTCTCTCTGTGGTTCTCTCTGTGGTTCTCTCTGTGGTCCTCTCTGTGGTTCTCTCTGTGGTCCTCTCAGTGGCTCTCAGAGGTTTTTGTCCTGCTTCAGTTTCTGTTTTTACTTTTCAGTGCTTGTTTTGGAGTGTGAAGAATCCTCAGATGTCTTAATACATCTTTTAATTTCGCTGCGATGCCTCAAACCCGGTTTGAATCAATGCTGTGCTGTTGTTCGCTGTTTCCAATGGTGTCTGCTAGGCTAAAGCTGCCGGGCTAAAGCTGCCGGGCTAAAGCTGCCGGGCTAAAGCTGCCGGGCTAAAGCTGCCGGGCTAAAGCTGCCGGGCTAATGCTGCCGGGCTAATGCTGCCGGGCTAAAGCTGCCGGGCTAAAGCTGCCGGGCTAATGCTGCCGGGCTAAAGCTGCCGGGCTAATGCTGCCGGGCTAAAGCTGCCGGGCTAAAGCTGCCGGGCTAAAGCTGCCGGGCTAATGCTGCCGGGCTAAAGCTGCCGGGCTAATGCTGCCGGGCTAAAGCTGCCGGGCTAATGCTGCCGGGCTAAAGCTGCCGGGCTAATGCTGCCGGGCTAAAGCTGCCGGGCTAATGCTGCCGGGCTAAAGCTGCCGGGCTAATGCTGCTAAGCTAATGCTGCCGGGCTAAAGCTGCCGGGCTAATGCTGCTAAGCTAATGCTGCCGGGCTAAAGCTGCCGGGCTAATGCTGCCGGGCTAATGCTGCCGGGCTAATGCTGCCGGGCTAAAGCTGCCGGGCTAATGCTGCCGGGCTAAAGCTGCCGGGCTAAAGCTGCCGGGCTAATGCTGCTAAGCTAATGCTGCCGGGCTAAAGCTGCCAGGCTAATGCTGCCGGGCTAATGCTGCTAAGCTAATGCTGCCGGGCTAATGCTGCCGGGCTAATGCTGCTAAGCTAATGCTGCTAAGCTAATGCTGCCGGGCTAATGCTGCCGGGCTAATGCTTCTAAGCTAATGCTGCCGGGCTAAAGCTGCCGGGCTAATGCTGCTAAGCTAATGCTGCCGGGCTAAAGCTGCCGGGCTAAAGCTGCCGGGCTAATGCTGCCGGGCTAATGCTGCTAAGCTAATGCTGCCGGGCTAAAGCTGCCGGGCTAAAGCTGCCGGGCTAATGCTGCCGGGCTAATGCTGCTAAGCTAATGCTGCCGGGCTAAAGCTGCCGGGCTAATGCTGCTAAGCTAATGCTGCCGGGCTAATGCTGCCGGGCTTAATGCTGCTAAGCTAATGCTGCCGGGCTAAAGCTAATGCCGGGCTAATGCTGCTAAGCTAATGCTGCCGGGCTAAAGCTGCCGGGCTAAAGCTGCCGGGCTAATGCTGCCGGGCTAATGCTGCTGCCATAAGGATTATGCTATGCCCTTGGCCAATTAACAGATAACATAGCCTATTTGTAGGATTTCTGTCTTTCTCAAAAAGTGCAATCATATAAATACCGCAAAGGGCTTATCTCTATTGTCTTATAATTTGGGAGTCTTCAACTGGCTTTGTGTTCTTATATAAGCAATAGCATTATGTAGTATGCAGAGAACTGGGCGTTAGCCCTTAGCGCCGCTATCTAATCATTGATACCTTTGTGCTAAACATAACCTTGGGCCACGGGAACTCCCCTTTCCCAGATGACTCAACCACACGGCCCTGTCCTCTTCTTCGTGACAATATAGTTTGCTGGTAGATGTCTGAACTTGTGGCTGCAGCACCTCATGCGCGTTAGGCTTTGAGCGGTAGCGCTGCTGCTAAAACTAGGCTGCTTTGTGCTATGTGGGTGGGTGACGTGAAAACTCTCTCCTACCTCCGTGCGCGGTGTCCTCCCATGTCCTGTGTCCCTCTGCGCGCTGTCCTCTCCTGTCTCCTTTGTGGAGGTACTAATTACTGCCGAAATGCTATAAACCTTCCCCTTGACAGAACAGGGAGTCGTCGTCTTTTGGTCCTTCCCACGGAGCAGGCGCCGTGCGACGTATGTGTGTGTGTGTTATCATTTTTTCCCGCGTGAGTGTATAATGCCCCTGTTTTTCCCCGCGCGGGAGAGACCCACCACTAGGGGCAGGGGCGGACCCCAAATTTACCACTTGTTTTTCAGGTTTCGGATTAAAAAAGGACGTTTGAGAAAAACCCACCACTGTTTAGGCATGAAAAATAAAGGCCTGAGGAAATCGTTTGTAGAAAGGTAATTTTTATGAGGGGGACAGTAAAAATTGTCCTCCTAAATCAGGAGGGTCCTCCTTACAAGGACAAGGGTGACAGTGTACATTTACTCTAAAGTATTGCAATACTCTGGTCTCTTTCTGGTTTCTCTCTCACCACTCTCTCTCTTTCACTGGTTTTTCTCGCTGGTCTCTCTTTCTGGTCTTTCTCTGGTCACTCTCTGGTCTCTCTCTTTGTTCTCTCTCTGGTCTATCTCGGGTCTCCATCTCTGGTCTCTATCTCTGGTCTCTCTCTCTGGTCTCTCTCTGGTCTGTCTCTCTGTTCTTTCTTTCGCGTCTCTCTGGTCTCTCTCTGGTCTGTTTCTGGTCTCTCTCAGGTCCCTCTATGGCCTCTCTCTGGTCTATTTCTCGTCTCTCTCTCGAATCTCTCTATGGCCTCTAACTGGTCTCACTCTGGTCTTTCTCTGGTCTCTCTCTGGTCTCTCTCTGGTCTCTCTCTGGTCTTTCTCTGGTCTCTCTCTGGTCTCTCTCTGGTCTCTCTCTGGTCTCTCTCTCTTGTCCCTCTATGGGCTCTCTCTGGTCTCTCTGGTCTCTCTCGGGTCTCTCTGGTCTCTCTCTGCTCTTACTAGACAAAAGTATATAAAAAGTAACCATTGAAAAATGAAATATAGAAATGGGTACAATACTGATGAAGATAAAATAAAAACCACAGTAACTCATAGTGAACTATTTCTCACAATTAAACAGTTTTTATCAATAATATTTAAAACCTTACTTATAGTTTGGTGCTAATTTACAAGTAATTTTTAACCTCCTTAAAACGCCCCCTCATAAAACCCCTACCCTTTATCTGGAAGTCTCTCTCTCTCTCTCATCATTTAAAGAAATGGGCAAATATTTCATAAAACATAATCCACTCTTCATATTCTGAATGCAGCGCGATGTGGAGATGAGATAGAAATTCCATTAGTTCTTTTTAAAACTGATTCATGAGTGTTAAGCAAAGCGAAACAAGACTGTAAAAGCAGGAGCAAGCTCTTAAAGCGCTCCAAATATTTATCTCCAGCTCCTGCTTATCTGTCATGTCTGAATGAACAGGAACTTGTTTTATTGCACCCAGCGTTATAAAGTATTAGCAGGGATTCTTTTTCATGTTGCCTTTGATATTTTTTTAAATCAGAGCCAGCAGTGCCGTGTTATCTCCCTGTGCATTGAGGTTTGCCGCTGCTTTTTTCCTCCCCCAAAACTTCACAGTTCTCCCTTTGGCTTTTTTGTCTCAGGATCTGAATCTGGAACACGCACACAGATACTTTAAGGCTGCTGAACTTGAGGCTTTGTTACAGTACAGACGAAAATATCTACTCACAATCTACACTTTTTCTTCTTCTTATAGGCCTTTGGTTGGGAATTGAATTGGACAAACCTAGTGGAAAGAACGATGGATCTGTCGGAGGAGTGAGATACTTCAGCTGCGCCCCGAAACATGGGGTTTTTGCTCCTCCATCTCGAGTTCAAAGGTACAAAGGACAGTTGTTTTCTTGACTAATAGAGTTACTGTAATCCCACATAGTTTGGCCTCCTACTCTGGTCTCACTCACACATGTAGTGACTCACATGGTTGTGTTAGATCAGTGTTTTTCAACCTGTGGGCCATGGAACGTTAGTGTGCCTTGAGATGTTGTATGTTGTGCCTTTTTAAATTGTCCAATGTCACCGATTTGGTCAAAATGAAGTGAAAAGGAAAGGATGAGAATGACTTTCAGAGTTGACAAAGGCTGCAGAATGTCATGTTTGCATACGTTTTAGCTGGCGGTGTGCCACATTAGTGTTTTTTTTTAAATGGAAAAGGTGTGCCACTGCTCAAAAAGGTTGGGGAACACTGGTTTAGATGGCTCACAAAAGTATGCCAAAGGTACAACATTTTCCAAGTTGTGACGCCAAGTTAGATAAAAAGGAATGGTTTAAAGTGCCAAGGTTATAGTGGCAAATATTCTCAGGTCTAAATCACTCTGAGAATATTTGGCAAATTGGAAAAACTGCTGTTTGCAAACATATTAGTTCTTCGGGTCTGAATACTTTTGAATGCCATATTTTTTTAAATTTTTGCTTCCACTCATCGCTGGTCTTTCTCAAAACACCTAACACAATATCTCATTTGTATTTGTGGTTATAAAAAGACAAAATGTGGAAGTGTTTGAGTATAAATACTTTTTTAAGGTACTGTATATTGTAGTATTAACTCCACTGGCTCCCTGTTCCACACTGCATACAGTACAAGGTCCTCCTCCTCCTCCTCACCTACAAGTCCCTCCATAACCCGGCCCCCTCTTACCTTACTGACCTCCTCCATCATCACTGCCCCTCCCGCCGCCTCAGACCCACAGACTCGGGCTGAGTTTACACGGAGACAATGTGGCAGTAAAACGGTATAGTTGGATGTCGGTTTCTACCAACCGTTCATACAAAGACTGTGTTCCAGGGGGGTGAAAACGTAAGTGTTCAGATCCAGCCTGCAGAGTGGGACAACTCAGATACGCTGCACAGCGGGGGCTCTTTCACACCCGCGAGAGGGGAAAAGGTGTGAAATCCCCCTCTGCTCTGACCCCCACCTCCTGCTGCTCCAGCACGTAAATTTGGACATGCGCAGTAGCGGAGAACAAACATCAACAAAAATGGCGGCGGTCACACTAACTAACTTCGTGGGCTTCGAGCACAGCACAGAGGATAATTCTACTCCTTCGTTCGTCCAAACGAGACCACGCGAAGCTCTAGGTTCAGTTTCCATGTTCACAGCTGCTGTTAAAATGCAGAATGATGTTGGTACTTTCTGAGGGTCTGGCACAGGAAGTGAATATACTGCCGGGAGGGGGGCTGGGGGTCGTGTGTCGTGTTGTAAAGTTTCTCTGCCCACTACTGGCCGGGCGCTAGAACTACATCGTTTTTCAACCTCATGTGAACGCTGAGAAATTTGCATTAGGAGCCAGGTCATTTCTGTTAATAGCCTGGAAACGTCTGCGCAGCGTCTCAGTATAAACAGGGCCTCAGACCTCCTCACTCTCCTCAGGACTAAACACCAAACCTTGGGGGGGCCGAGCCTTCGCTGCAGCCGCCCCCAGCTCTCTGGAACTCACTCCCACAACCATCAGAAACTCACTACAGAACTTTAAATCACTTCTCAAAACCCACCTGTTTCAGCCTTTCCTTCATTTTGTTCTTCAATTTTTATTTTTATGTGTTTTGTAAAGTGTCTCTCGAGTGTCCAAAAAAGCGCTATACAAGTTTGATGTATTATTATTATTACTACATGAGAAAATAAATGATGGTGAGAACACTGGGGAATTGAGACTTGTCCACATCTACTAAACTACACCATTGCTTGTATTGTAATTACTCGTGTTTCCTGGTCATACACTGAGTACGTGTTATTCTCCCCCTTCTGTCTTTGCTCTTGGCTCATTAGCAGAAGTCGCCACTGTCAGATGCTTGGCTAAAGGCTAATCTCGGAATTGAACACCTTTTGTAATGAGCCAGATGCGATTCAGACATTATTACCTGCTACTGTTCGTGAAGTTTCCTTTTGTGTCCACTTAATATTATACAACTGACTTTGCATTGACGTATATTTCTCCTCTCACCATGTGTAAACTCATTTCCTACATGTACGTCTGGTCTTACCATGTGTAAACTCTGGTCCATGATCATTTCCTACATGTACGTCTGGTCTTACCATGTGTAAACTCTGGTCCATGATCATTTCCTACATGTACGTCTGGTCTTACCATGTGTAAACTCTGGTCCATGATCATCTCTTACATGTACGTCTGGTCTTACCATGTGTAAAGTCTGGTCCATGATCATTTCCTACATGTACGTCTGGTCTTACCATGTGTAAACTCTGGTCCATGATCATTTCCTACATGTACGTCTGGTCTTACCATGTGTAAACTCTGGTCCATGATCCTTTCCTACATGTACGTCTGGTCTTACCATGTGTAAACTCTGGTCCATGATCATTTCCTACATGTACGTCTGGGTCTGATCCTAGTGGCTGCAGTTTCCTCGGTTGAATCCCCTCCGACCAATCAGAGAGCGGGGGAGGCGGGTGTTGTAGGTCGGTGTCGGTGACGTCAAGAGTTTGTGCTGAATTTGCTGGTTGTAGTTTGTCGGAGAATGCGATAGTAAAATAATCTGTTCTGGTTCAATCCAAATATCAAGAAACTGAAGCAAGAGCAAGAGGAATGTTTAGTAAATGTCATTGAGGCAAAGATGTTGTGGCTCTACTCCTCACGGGCTCCGTTAGTGGCAAAGGAGATGGCTAAAGCTAGGCTAAATGCTTAAGCTAGGCTAAATGCTTCACTCACTCGGGCGCACTACATACGTCACAGTAAAGTCAGATCCAATGGTTTCAATCTGCAAAAGGAGTTAACCCCTCCCACCTGTTAATGAAGTCAATGGAGCAAATCCAGACCTTAGTACTGAATGAAATTGGTACAATAGTATGGTAAGAACAGGGTAGGTCAATGTATACTTGGAATAATTGTTTGAATATTGTTTTGGACCACGACCCTCTCCTGCAACACAAAATCTTAAAATGTTTGAATATTGTGCAGTGATTTTGAAGAACGGATGGTGGTAATGGTCTCACTTTTAGTTGAGACCGTTACCGCCACATTCTGCTCACTTTCTGTGTCTGCTCCTCAAAATAAATGCCCAAGTAAGTGTCTGCTGATGACGGGTATAAGTGTGGGACTTTAAACTGCCTCTTACTTTGCAAAGACCTGAGAGGAAAAAGCATATGTTATGATGTATGACTTTTATGTTGCTTATTATCAGCACTCGACTGAAACTATCGATGTGATACATAGAGCAGTTCGTTCTTTATCGTGTTTTTGCAATGTTACAATTTAATTCTGATTTTAGAAGCATTGCTCGATACTTGTATAAGAAATACTTTAAAGGAAATTAAGTCTTCTCTCGTAATATGTTTTGTATTTACTAATACTGGTCACCGTGAGATGTGGACATTATGTGACTAGTTTACTTAAAGCTATGCAGGACTGTTTTTATGATTATGATTATTATTATGCACTGAAGTCTGAGCTAAACAAGTGAATAAAACATGTTCTTCAAATAGATAAGTGATCTCACCACCACACAGCATAGTTCAATTGCATTTATCCCACTGCCCGCCTCCTCTGGCACCTGTGCTCATTTGTAAACAGAGTTTGCTCTGCGTCTCTTCATTATTCCTGCAGTGACTGGGTTTGTGTTGAACACACTGTTCATGTCCTGCTTTAGACTGAGCTGTTTTCTCTGCAGCCAGCCCCTGTGTTGTCCTGCCATCCCTTATTCATGTCATTTTCTGCTTGTCTTCCTCTGCCTAATTAACCCAGGGGCACACGGTGTGCTCAGACAGAGCTCAGTCTAATGGAAGATTTCACATTCTCTCCATCAGCACCTTGTCCCCTCTCTTTTGTTCTGCCGTCACCACCTATCACCATCCATTTTACAAAATAAACAGCTTTTCTGTTTTTTCTCCACAAATAAAGTATTCTCTCTTTGAAAACTGAAACTTTCACCTCTTACTTTTTATTATGACATTTTGCTTCTTGTGTCTTCGGCAGGATCCATGGCTCTGTGGACTGTCTCTCTGAGCTGTCCTCAGCGCGCCTTCCTCACTCATTCAGTGGTGAGTTTCTGCACCTTTCTCTTCTCTTTCTGCTGTGTTTTTGGGGAGGTCTGTGAGGTGCTTGACTGGTGTGGTGTGTGCAGGGTCGATGCGGCGCACTTTCAGCTCCACGTCTGCGCTGTCTGTTCCAAAGGACTGGAGCAGAAGGAGCGGAGCAGTGAGCAGGTGTGTGTCGCTCTGCTAAGCTCCCATTCCTCTCCCAGAGCCTTCAGCTTCACTCTAATCCCTCCAGCAGTGGCACAATCAATACTGATAAGAAGCTGCGCTATTAGTCAGCAGAAGGTTCTTTATTCAATGGCCGCTGCATGATTGTGGTTATAATGAGCGAGAACAGATCAATCCCTCGAGCACCGGGCTCCTCTGAATCCTTCCATTACTTGATAAATCCTTCTGTGAGCATGTGGCGCTAAATTCTCTCTCGGTCTCGTGTTGTGCGCAGGAGCCGCTCTGCCCCACACCGTCGCCGCCGGAGTGCGCTCAGTGGGGGCAGTGGTGGGAGGTCGAGTGTGGCAGACCGCGGTCCGGGGCAGGTGCGGCTCCACGTCGGTATGCAGGTGCTTCTGAACAGTGTTAACGAAATGGCCTTCATCCGGTACCTGGGCGCTGCGGACTTTGCCCCGGGGCTCTGGCTGGGATTGGAGCTCCGCACGGCAAAAGGGAAGAATGACGGCTCCGTGGGGGGGCACCACTACTTCTCCTGCCGCCCCGGATACGGCGTGTTGGTGCGCCCCAGCAGGGTCACCCACAGAGGAATCAACGGGTCTCTCCTGGTCCCAGACGACAGCTGAGCACCACCTTAACCTCATACCGTGTTTGTGTGTCTTTTCACTCTTTTTGTTAGAATTGTTGCATGCTCTCTCCGCACACATGTCGATGGTAAACCAGCGGCTCTGCAAACAGCGCTGGTTTGTGGAACATGAAACAAAAGCGATACACGCAGCCGCGCAGTGACTGTTGTAAAGTCTGGCTGTCACACAGAAGTCACGCTCTTCCACACAGAGAGGCGCAGAGCTTTGATCCACGCTGCACCAGAAAGTTTCCAACAAGAAACTTTCATCTGCTTTGGTCCGCAGAACTGTTGCATTTGATCTGTTCGTACATTTGGGGGTCAGACGACGCTTTTGTAGAGCTCTTTTCTTGAACTCATTAACATTTGTAGATTCCATGACGCCGCCAGTGCATTTGCATGGGGCTTGTGCAAGAAGAAGAAGAGCACTTTTTTGAAACCCTCATGAGAATAAGTATTTGCTGAATATAAAAAGGGAGTTTAAAACACGCACTAATTTGTCCGCACCTAAAGAAAGAATTTATAGATATTGTATTGTAAGATTTTATACAAATAACATGAATAGATTTCTTTAATTGAAGGAGATTGAAGAAGATTTAGTGAACGCACAGATGCAAACAATGTGCACGTTACACTTGACATAAAGCACTTTGAAAAGAAATGATTTCGTCAAACTCCGTTAAAAATGCAGGGTCTGAAGAAATTTTAAAAAGTATAAAACGGAATGAAGAATATTTGTTTTTGTGTTTTACTTTCTGGGTGAGCTGAGGGCTTCAATTACAAAAATAACCGTGATTCCTGTAATTCAGAACATTTCTCTTTCATAGTGGCCGAGGTGCATCTTCCACGTCCTCTATCGCACCAAGACCACTTTTTATAATCATACCATAGTAGATGCCACATTCCCAAAACATTAGACATGGCCCAATTCAGCGCTCAATGAAAGCATCCTGACCGAGGAAATACGCAATTATCTCCCCGTTCCAAAGAGACCGTGCCTTCTGATTAGAGCAGGCAAGTCGCACACAAAAGATTGATTGTGAACGTGGAGAAAACGGCGGCGATTCAGTAAAACACTTGTGTAGCCTCCAATTAGAGGGCACAGGCCGCAGACGTATAGCACCAACACAGGCTGCGCTGATGATGGAGCACGAGTCCGACTGATGCCCAAATATCTGGGTTAAAAAGGTTGAGGTTGTTGTACCTGATTTAAATGTTTTAATCAGGGCTGCACAATATATCGGAATGATATCGTTATCGCGATGTTGGTATGTGTGGTATCCATAGCTAAAAGAGGAGCGATAATTTTGAGATTTTTTCAATGTATTTCTTGTACCAGCACTGCAATATGGGACAACCTACTACTACTACTACTACTACTGCTGCTGCTGCTACTACTACTACTACTACTGCTACTACTACTACTACTACTACCACTACTACTACTGCAACTACTACTACTACCACTACTACTACTACCACTACTACCACTACTACTACTACTACTACTACTACCACTACTACTACTGCAACTACTACTACTACTACTACTATTACCACTACTACTACTGCAACTACTACTACTACTACTACTACTACTACTACTACTTCAAGACCGGACCAATCACAGAAAAGTTATTTGCAAGTCATGGAGAAAAATGGTTGCTTCATTAAAGGGAAACACAGCAAATCTCCAGAGCCACTTCCAGCTCAACCACAGGGTACTTTATCCTGTGTATATAGGATCTAAATCTCCACAGCCTACTCCGGTCAAACTAAAGGCAAATGTACAAATGAGTAAGTAAGTCATTTTATTTAGATAGCGCATTTTTACAGACTTTATAATGTTCAGAAATCTGATATTTTTACATTTTTATGGTGATGACAGAAACGCGTCGCAGAACACACTGGATCAAATCCCCCAACATCATCCATTCACTCACTCGTTACATTCAGACCTATTGTACATGTTTTTAGTGGTAGGGGAAACTGGAGCACCCGGAGGAAACCTACGCAGGCCCGGGGCGAACATGTAAACTCCAAGACCCTGTTCCAACCGGGATTCAAAACCCAGGACCTTCTTGCTTGCACTCTTGCTTCTCAGTAAGAAGGTCTTGGGTTCGAATCCCGGTCGGAAGAGGGCAACCTTAGTGGAGTTTGCATGTTCTACCCGTGTCTGCGTAGGTTTACTCTGGGTGCTCCGGTTTCCCCAACCACTAAAAAACATGAACAATAGGTCTGAATGTAATGAGTGAGTGAATGGAGGGTGTTTGATCGGAGCTTTTGATGGACCAGTGTGTTCGGCGTCTTGCTCTGAACATTGTGAAGCGCTTTGGGTGACCTTGGTCTGTATAATGCGCTAAATATTAAAGTACATACACATACATTCATTGCAGATTGCATTTTTAGGTGGAAGACAAAATATCGCAATAATATTGAAATGCCCAACACCCATTTCAAACATCACTCTACATTCCAATATCGTGCAGCCCTAGTTCTAATTAAATGCGTTTTTTAACAAGTGGTTGAAAATAAAAAGCAAAATATACTCAAAATGGTGCTGAATGATTACATCTAAAATGTCTGGTCTTTTTACATCTTTTTTTGTGTGTGTAAAATGAATGTGTTGGGTTCAAACTTGCACTAACATTGAAATAAAGAATTGTCATGTATTTCCCAGACTTTACCTTCCATAGTTCTCTCCACTGACTGCTCATAAAATACAGGTGCTTCTCTTCTGGGCTGAAAGCGAGTGACATTTTGAGAGCAGTTACATGTTTGCTCACTTACTGTTGGATTCCTCTGGGCCTCGTCGCTGCTGGAGCTTATGAAAAGCCCGGTGCAGGTGGGGGATTGTTCCATAAAGCCAACCCGGGCTCCACATTCAAATCTGACGGAGAAGGACACGGTGCTGAACAAACGCAGACTTCTACCAAAACTCTGCAAAGATATTTTACCATATTTTTGTCAAAGAGTGACGGGTTTTAGACGTTGAAATTTTTGCATGACTTGGAAATGAAGGGAGCATAAATACAATGACATGGCTTTGCTTAAAGGAGACGTTCTGCATAATCAACTTTTTCTCTCTTTTAAACATAATACAGCGTTGTTCCTCAAAAATGGGCCTGAGGTTGATTTTAGATCCATCCATGTTCATCTCAGTTCAAAGGTAATATGTTAAAATTATAGCCCATCAACAAGTTTTGCCGTTTTTCTTTAGTAAAATTACGCTATTTAAAAACTCATGACTGTGTTTGCAGCTGGTTATTTAAAAAAAAAAAAATTAAAAAAACATACAACACATTCAACTCCTCCCTCTGGTGGTTGTATAGGGAGTTACAGGTGGAAAGCTTTTTTCATTTTTTATAATTCTTTATAATCCTACATGTCAGTTAGATTAATACATATTAGGGGCAACAGTGGCTCAGTTTACGCCTGAAGGTTGTGGGTTTGACTCCCCACGATACCTACTCAAACTAATGCAGCGTTCAAATACTTCCTTATGAGCAAAGTGAGAAAGTGTCTTGCCTTAGCACACAACAACAGTAGACATGAGTGAGAGTTGGAAGAGAAGGTCTTACGATGATCTCAAACCCACAACCTTCCGGCCACTGACGCCCTTGTTACCGTTCATACTTGGTTAATCCCATGCATTCTACCTATAGTATGTAAAACCTTAAATGACACATCAAATCTCTATCATTTTAACGGCCAGTAATAATGCTTCACATTTCTTCTCTAGTGGGGCATAAATCCAATAACATGACATTCCTGAGGAGTTCTGCACGAGACCAGACGGCCCATATCTAAGTGGAGTGTCTGCAACCTGCTCGTTTGGAGATACTGACTGAGGTATTGACATTAAACCAGCTGTCATCTGAAGCCTCAACGTCCAGTTAAAGGGCAGGGATCCAGTTTCGAAACTTGACAAACTTGAAAATCTGACTCTGAACATCGACAAAAGCGTTCACTGACTCCGGGAAAGTTGCTTAAATCTCACCTTTTCCCCCCCATTCCCTTTTAAAATCTTAATGAAAATCAAATGAGAAGATTTGTGAAGTTGGGAGGTGACTATTATATTAAAAAATGACGTGTTCAAAATCCCTTATAAAGATGACCATGATTCAGAAAGTTAAATTCAAAAAGGTTTATTTCCCTAATACAAAAAGAATCTAAAACAGCTGTCCGGACCAAAAAGTATCTAATCCCTATCCTCTATATAAGGTGTAACATTGGTTGGGCGCTCCACCAAGTCACACAGCTAAACCCTGATCCGGACTGAAAAAACTAACACACACATTCAAGCTATTCATTAAGTAAATGTGCAAGGGGAAGAAGGGGGCGTGTCGTATCAGTCAGCTTATGGTCCAGGGTCCGGCCTCCATCAGGTCTTCTCCGTCTCGCCAGACCTAAACAGAAATCATTCACGCACTACCCCTCCCTAATTCTATAGATTTATTAGTTCCTTTGAGATAAGGCAGAGGGATCTCAAGGCTTCTCCTCCAGATTCTGGACTCCATCTCCTTCTTTCACAACTTGAAAGGATTAGCAGAATCCCCCCAGATTAACTATCATTAACTCACCCATGCACTTTGGACAAAATGGGACAAGGGGAGTAGGGCAATACAAGGTCTTTCTTTTTGCTTGGAGACAGACAGAGTTCAATTTCAGGTCAATCTAATTCACATCGCCTTTTAGCCTATATTTAATACAACATGACCCTGTTGAACGTGGCCATACCTGCGGGTGAAAGCCAGATCTGGTCACACCTATGAAGCTAAGCAGACTAGGGCCTGGTTAGTACTCTGATGGGAGACCTATGGGAACACCAGGTGCAACAGTGCGGTGGCTGTAAAGGGCCAAACTGTGGTTGTGTCCTGAGGCAAGACACTTCACCCATATTAGAATGAGTCTGGTGTGTGTGTGTGTGTGTGTGTGTGTGTGTGTGTGTGTGTGTGTGTGTGTGTGTGTGTGTGTGTGTGTGTGTGAAAATAGGGTAGT